GGGGGGGGTTGTATGGACAGATCCAATGAAGTTAGCGCATGAGAACTATGAAGGCCTGGCATTAAGAATCCTTATCCCATCTCAGTCAACCTTCAAAATCTCCCTCGTATGAAGGATATCTTGTGCGCTGATCAAGCTTTTCATGGTAACATAGCAGTTTGTAATTTGGCTCATGTGCTTTTATCTGACAAAATGGTGTTTTCCAATTAATTCGCTGATACACATGTTGGTTTTACAAAAATTAAATTTCAATTTGGGAATCTTGTAACCGTACAGCCGTTTCCTACAAAGATGGTCAAACTTAGACGGAAAATCTGCTTGAATCGATATTGGATTTTAAACGAAAGTTACATTTTGTCACAATTTGAATTTCACTGCAAAGATATCGATGACTATTTCAGATACCACATCCAGCGCAATAAATGTCAAGCACAATAGGCCTACATTATCGAAACCAAATTTGTACCATGACTGCAACCATCAGGAACATACACGCCTATAGAATGTGGTTGCTTATGAAACAGTGCATTGAGCTGGCGTTCCTGTATTGCAACTTTCTAGCCTCGGGCTTCAATCAAAGATCATTTCTTTTTTATTTTTCAATGTCCAAACTAAATTATTTCAACAAACAGCAGGGTTTCTGGTCTGAATATAATGATGGAATTAAGTAGAAGAAGACAGCTTCTTTATTCACAAACTGTTGTTCACAAACAGCGATTTATCAATCATTCCACGCTGTGAGCTTTTGGCAAATCCAATTATTCATGTTTGAAGTATGTGCGGACGAGCAACAGCATTAACATAAAATGATAAAACCATCCTTACAGTTTGAAATATTACTGTTGATATTGCTTGCCTTCATAGTTAGTTCGCAATATTCTACTTAATGGTAAAGCGAAGGAAGGGAGCGAACGAACTAACTCCTAAAAGGAAATATTTGGGAAAGATGTTCGGCTGCTTGTTGGGCTTGTGCACATAGCTTACGTACAATATTACAAGCTATAAAAAACACATTTAAAATGACGGCAAGAGTACTGGAATTCGTTATATATCAACAGGGCTCCATCAGTGAAGCCTGAATTTCTTGCAATAAAGTTGATCTTTCACTTGCGGTGTTTATAACATGAACGTTACTAATGATGGTCTCGCACAGCGAGAAACACAGCCATTAATTGTTTGCCTCATCCCGTTGCTAAAGTCAGTTCAGTTTTCAATAAAAAGAAAAATTTGCTTCTTGCTCTTTTTGTCATTACTAAATTATACTTCACCAGTCAAAAGCCAGCGTTAACGCTAAAAAATCAGTTGGATATTGAAATGGGCATCTGAAGCGGGTATTAAGACCGAACTGCGCTCTGACATTAAAAATGGTTCAAGGAAATCCGCTGATGATTATATGACCTTATGTAAAAGTGAAATAAATCAATTATTAGTTTGTAGTTTGAGAGGGGCCATTGTATCTGGCATCACTCAATAGTTACCGCCTACACCAACCTGTCGCTCACAACAGCATCGTCAGCATCACCACAGGGGTGAACTGACGATGACTTGTAACATGTGGCAAAGTATTAACATGATCACAGAAGACGTGAAACTAAATTTAAATACCACTGTAAATAATCACACTATTAACAAGGAAAATAATTAGCCAATGTAAATAGGTTTCGTCCCAATAACGTAAACAGGTTTTGCACCAAGGTCTGAAGTGGTATTTTCTATTC